TAAAATAAATTTGTTTGCTCACGTCAGCGCGTTCCGTTATCCTCAATTTTCATTTTCGTTAGCGTGATAATTTAATTTGTTTTAATTTTATTTTTTACGAGTGATATATAATAACATAAATTTTAAAAACAAAATTGGATAAACAACACAGTGAGGTTATGACGACGACAACAACGTAAATTTTCTCCGTGTGCGGTCTTTTGCGTCTTTCAAAGAACCAAGCACTGCGCGCGGAAATGTTGTTCTCCGACATATTTTTGTTTTCCATGATGTGAGAATATTTCCTTGACTCGTCATTGCAGGAATGTTCTCGCGGAAAAGCTCGCGCGGCAAAACTCGAAGTAATTTACACCGAAATTGCAATCGTTTAAGCGAGAGAGAGAAACGTTAATTCACAGCGTTTTCCCCGCTTTCCGCTACCGCGTTCGATGTGCGCTCTGTTCTTTTTCCGAATACTTTATTTTCCGAACCGATCATTTCGCCACTGACGGGGGGGGGGAAAGAATATCGCGATCTCCCCCGTAAAATACGGGACGCAGGCACGCGGAAGAAGAGAATGCAAAGGGAATAATACGAAATCTCGTAAGCGGGCGGAGAGATGCGCGCGGAGAGAATTTCGCTGAGTGTTTCGCGCGAGCGGGAAAAACTTGGCGCGATCCCCCCCCCCCTTCGTCTTTTCTTTGCTCGAGCGCGGTAAGAAACCAAAAGTAAGATACGAAATGTCGAAGAAGATATGCATTCACTTTTCGCGCAAAAGACAACGCGGAGGCGCGCAACGGTATACGCGCAATCTTTCGGGAATAAAAAGAGAGAAAACTTGCGAGCACACACACACACACACACGGGCGTGCAACAAAGTAGCGCAACCATTGGTGGGGGGGAGGAAAGGGGGGAGGGGAGGGAAACAATATATTATAACACACTTACCCGCGTGTCGGAAGTCGAAGTAAGATACGATATAAAGTTGCGGCGGGGCCATGATACATAACAATGAGACACAAAGACATGACAACTTTTCCTGCCAAGAACTTTCCGAGCAATAATTCCCGGCACGCTGTCCAAGAGAGAGGACTCGGCGAATTCACGGAGCTATCAAATAACGTTAGCGATACCCAACATCGCGCCGGAGTGAAACCAACGGGCTGTAACTTACAGACGCACACACACACATACATACACACACAGCGCGTTTAATTAGGATCCGACTCCGCTGCCCGGAGTTCTCGTTTGGTGGCGACGGGTCGATATAAAATTGCGAAGTTACAGGGCCCATCTTCGAAAGTGTCGGTAATTTTGCCCGGGAAGAAAACCAGCTGTAACCCGGCGCAAAGTGCGATCCCGCGCGCGCGCATCGCTTTCCTTTTTTTTTTTTTTTTTTTTTTTTCCGTTACTCTTCGCGAAATAGACCACCAGACCTTTGCGAAGTCTGCGCGCCATAGAATCTGTATGTGTATGATAAAAGTTTGTTTGCCAGTTTAATTTTGGATAACTTAAAGTTATCCGGAAAGAAAAAACTCGCGGTGTGTGATCCACTTTGCGCCGGGGAAAAAAAAAAATATATATATATATATACGCGCCGATAAGAAAAATATTCAATATTTAAATTAAAATTGCAACAAAGCGTTTTGAAGAATTGTTGCTAACCGACAAAAGAATTCAAATTCTTTGTACGCCGTTTCTTCTTCGAGAAAAATAGTTTTGAGAAATCAAAAAAAAAAAAAAAATTCCACACGCGGACAAACGTAACGTTAAAGTATTTGATCTTGTGTTTGTTCGTCGCGATGTCGCGCGCGGTCATCGAGGCAAAGAGAAGTTGGACAAAGTACCGAGAGAGAGAGAACCGTGTGTATTGTCAGAACACACACCCACATCTTTCAGCGGAGTTACATGTCCGACGACGAAAAAAAAAAACAACAAAAAAACAATAGAAAAAAAAGAAAAAAGAAGGTAGCGCGTGACCGCCCTGAGGTCGAGACTCGCGGTGTCGAAGAGGACAGCGACACTTTGAAAAGCGCCACTACTTCGACGCGATGCAGCGGGGGTAGGCAGCCTCCCCTGTAACGGAAGATCAGCGAAGAGAGCGCGGAGGCGCCTGCGCCCTCGAGTGTGCCGGGAGTTTCTGCGTGCGTTTCCATCAGTCGGGTCTTCAACTCCGGACCGCGAGTACCGGCTTCGGTTCGAGCCGTCGTTCGGGTCGCGACGCACCCTTCGAACGTGCAGCAGAGGACCACCCTCTTCGGTCGTGGCTGCGCCGATATATCTGCAACACACAAAGAAGAGAGGTTTACGCGAAAGAGAATTTTCGAAGATATCTCGCCCCGAAACTTTTTTATTTTCTTGCGCGGTTTCCTTTCTTAGGGTAATCTCATTCTCTTGTAAGATTGAAATTTACGTCAAAACACTTGTAGTAAAGTTCGCGTGCGGACGGTCACACGACGAAGAAAATCGCGCGGAGGATCGTACATATATATATACCGGAAAGCTCTTTCCGGAGATTTTTACGAGTGGAACAGATGCGCCGTGACCCGCGCGCGTTGATTTTTATAGGACATGAACCTTCCCGCGGAACGACGAACAGAATTTTTGTGAAGAGCGAAAGGGTGGAGGTAATCGCCCGTGTAAGCATCTCGCGAGATTGTTACACGTTTATTTGAATAAAATATTCTTTGTGTACACACATGTTCAAGAGCATTTGTATGCATAAGTTGCGGCAAAAGAAGAGAGAGAGAGAGAGAGAGAGAGAGAGAGAGAGAGAGAGAGAGAGGAGAGATGTGAAAATTGTATGGAAATAAAAAATTGATTTTTTCGTTAATTGTATGCCGATATAAAAAAAAGTCATTTTGCGAACAACAATATATATATACAAACGTCGGCGTTCGATTCGCGTAACAATATTTGCGAGACTTTTCGCGCTGCTCCCGTTCATGTCTGTGAAAAATCTAGTATAGCTGTATATCGCGAAAAGTAAGTGCAACTTCTTTTTCCGCGGACAGCCAACGTTTGGCTCGAAAGTAATTCCAGCAGCAATTCGATACGTTGTTGGAAGAAACGATCGAAATGTCCGTAGTCACCGAGTAACGCGAACTGTCAGATGCATCCGCGCCGATTTGTGTGTTCGTCTCTCGCGCGGAAAAGTCTCCGCGCTCTGCTATCGGCGAGTAACATCTTGCGGATCGCTAAATTAACTTGTCACTTTCTCAAGTCAAAACGTCTCGAAAAAAACGAAACTTCCGACCGCGAATATTTAACCAACGACCAAAAGTTTTTCTCGAGAACCAAATTAACGTTCTCGGTCGCGACCGACGAGAAATTAAACAATCAAACAAACGAAGTAACATTTCAATTAATTCTGTGATTTGTATTTGATATATTAGAAAATAAACTTTTGTCACATCGGTGTTTTACGTGTCAAGTATTTTGTTTGTTTGTTTTTGGTTTTTGGTTTTTTTTCTATTACTATCCCGCGAACACGTCGTATGTTTTAATAAAACAATCAAAGAGAGACAAGACCGTGTGCGAAAAACGCTACTGTTTTCGAGTGTTGTTACATCTTCATCCATTGTGCGTGTTTTCATATGAACAAAAAAATAAAAAAAAAAAATAAATTAAAAAATTACGAGCTACTAGAAATGTACGTTCGCTACCGATCGATATTGAGGTTACGGGATAAAGCGATTATATTGTGCGGCTAATTCCCGAGTCCTTCGCGGATAAAGCGAGAGGAAGCGAATCGAATATCGAGTTAAGAGCGTGTGTGTGTGTGTGTGTATGCGCGCGCGCGCGGGCGTATAGAAACATATGCTCGATCGCAACGGTTGAAAAGGCGCGATCGTTAATATTGTTAGCGTTAATTAATCATTGGCATGCAGATAAATACCGCGTATCAGGGGCGATAACCGGGGCGTGAGCGGGCGGGCCCCGCTATCTGCCGATAATTATGAACAAGCTAACTCATTAGTCGCAGTCAACGTTAACGGCCTCGTTGTTGCACGCCAAACGCCCGTCCGGTTTGTTCAACCTTGTATAAGCTGTCGAATTAAACTAACCACGCTTGCGGTAAGAAGATTATACGCGTCCGACGTGACGAGCGCGCGCGCGCGCGCGCGACCGAAATTACAAAAATTATAAAAAAAAAAAAAAGAAAATTGCGCGAGCGAACGAGCACGAAAAGGGAACTAATTACGAGAAGAATTACATCCCGCGTTCGACATTACGATAACACTCGAAATGTTGTGCTGCGACGGGTAATACACCCCCGGAAAACAACACGGATTACGGTCATCAATTATGCCGCTGACACCGCTGCTCCAATTTGATCGCCTTCCCATAATCAGCAATGTTAACCAATCTGCGCTGTATATTATTTTGACGAAAGTAGCAGGCATTAGTGGGACAAATAATTCGATATTCCACGCGCGGGAGAGAAATAAATCCGGCGAATTGTAATTGAGAGAATTTTCCTCGTTTTCGCAAAATTTTGATATAAATTAATCTGTATGTTGTAATATATATATATACTATATATCATATATATGTATATATATGCACACTACATAACGTTTAAATTAATCTGTGTGTTGTAATATATATATATATATACTATATAGATATATACACACACACACACTACATAACGTATCGTTTTTAGTTACGAAATAAATTTAAAAGCCGATTGTGTGTGTTCTCTTGTGCAAACATGAATTTTTAATTAAGTTTCGTTAATCCGCGTTTGCGCAAACTATTGCGCGGCCCATTAGCGCAACTATGAAACGTACGCTCAAAAAAAAAAAAAAAAAAAAAAAATCAGTCTTGATTTTAAAAAAAAAAAAAAAAACAAATAAATTTCGCGGTCAAGCGTATTTTAACTTCGCCGGATAATTTAAATTGAATTATCGTTATTGATTCGCCCGAATATACTCCGGGATATATTTTTCTCATCGGAGATTCCTCCGCGCGATAATTCTTCGCGAGAGTCGGTCTACGGGTCGGTTACGAAAATTCGACTTTACAGGTCAGCGGAAGTTAGAAAATATCCGGGTCGCGACCAGCGCACCGGGCGATCCATTACCCGGGTGACGTCGAAGAGCGTCGGGAGCGTCGGCGCCGCGGGGATCAGTCGCGAGTTTCGCGTGAGAGTGCGTAATTAATTCGCGGGACTCTTTTAATCAAGTGAAGACGAAATTGATCGCGACGAGTTTAACGCAAACCGCAAACTGGTGACAGTGTCTCGTCCGCGTTGCGATTATGACATGTCGTCGTCGTCGTCGTCGGTGCAAGTGATTTAGTAGCAAAGAAGCAAAGAAAGAGAGAGAGACGGAGATAGAAAAGAGAAGAAGAAGAAGAAGAAGAAGAAGATTCCGCGCCGAAGGGAGGGACTGTGTTGCCGAGAGAACGGTGTTTCGAGTATAACGGAAGATGGATCGCGTATCAGAGAACATCCCGGAACACTGATCACCGACCGCGGTGGAATAAAGAAGAAGGAAACGTTTTCGCGCTCGGGTAGCAAGGGACGACGTCGTCGTCCCCCGTTCTAATTAATCTTCGAGAACGTAACGAGCAGACCGGCCCTCGTGGGATTTCCGTAGCATGACACCTCTAAGAAGAAGATTCTTCTTTTCTTGCGAAAAACCCTCAGCTGCAGGTGGAAACGATCTGTAAGTAACGCGGAGCCAGAGAGAGAGAGAGAGCCCGTTCAGACCAAGATCGCGGACGGAAAGGTGTGCGAGAGAAGAAGGAGACATTCTCATGTTCGAGAGATGCGGCCTTAATTAAGTAAAGCACTTGGACTAACTCGGCTTCAATTTCCTTAAATACACTCGCGCGTTAGCTCCGATCAAAGCGCGCGCGCGCGCGCGCGGAGCGACAAGCTCAAGGTCGACGTAAATTAAAGACCATCGACATCGATAACCTCGCTTAAGTGGTCTTCAACCAGAGCGGCACTTTACACTACTAGAGGATCGCAGGAAGGGAGGGGGCAGGCTACGTGTCTTCGATTACCGACGACGAAGAAGTCGATAAGGGCGCTGTTCGATAAAGGTGGGAGCATCCTCCAATCCTCGCGGGCAGATATAAAAGAGAGAGAGAGAGAGAACGCGGGAGCGGGAAGGAGCGAAACCTCTGAAAGCCTGTTCCTGATCAAACTATCGAAGCAAATCTCTGAGACCGACCTAGTAGCTGCAAAAGTCATCCTCCGTCGAACAATTTGCATCGACGAGGTCGAGGTAAAAGAAGCGCAAGGAACTACGTCTTCTGAGTGATTAAGAATAACGTTCGATTGAGAAAGAGAAAAAGAGAGAGAGAGAGAGGGAGGAATTTCCATCGAGTAGTTGGCTTGCTGCTCGATTGATGTGCAAGGTAAATGTTGAAGAATCCAATCCGTAAACGTTCGAACAGCAGCGACGGAGATAAACGGGGACACGCTCCGGAGCAATACGTTTCAACGCGGATTAACTTTCGAAAGTGACGAAACAAAAAAATTTCGAGTCACTCAGTGATGGTTGAATGAATCGATTGAAATACGTTATCTCTCTTGCTCGGAGACAGAAGCGCGGATTCGAATCAATATTAATATCTCGTCCGCGCGCGCAAACATTAAGTGGACAAGCACAGGAGGTGGACGGACGTGAGGAGGTGTTCCAACCGCTGAGAGACACGCAAAAAGGCCAAAGAGAGGCGCGACAAGAGGAATAAGAAGCGGGGAGAGATAGCAGCTGCGTCGGACGGAGTCGGTCTATGGGCGATGAGACTGGAAGGTTAATCTCGAAGGTCCGGATATAGAACGGAAAGAGGAAGAGGAGAAGGCTGAAGTAGAGCTATCGCGACGGCGGAAAAAGTGGACCTTCGTGCCCGCTTGGAGGCTGTGAGAAATTGAGGGAGGGGGGAGAGGACTCGAGGATGTGTGAAGACGAATGCGCCAGAGATAAGAGTCGGCTGAAGAGGAAAGCGAGCGCTGATCCTTGAACTCTCTGTTATCCCGCGCGAGAGAAGATAAGGGAAGAAGTGCTTTGACGTGTTCGGTGTGATAAAATCGAGTGTGTGTTTACGAAGGATTTTGTCAGTGAAAAAAAAAAAAAACTGCGGTCTATTGTGTTGATTCTATTCTAATACTACTTCCGAGAATCTGCCATTAAGATCTTAAAGGATTATTCAAGTTTCTGGAAAGTTTTCGGAAAAGTTTTCGACAAAAGTCGCGCGACCGAAGAAGTAAAGTAGTAGTACCTCTCTCTCTCTCTCTCGTCGGTCTCTCGCCGAGGAATTCATCTAAGGATTAAGATCAAGCATGCTTGCGCTGAACAATCCTCTTCGGTGAAGTTAACTAGACAACGCCACGACGACGAAGGATCCGCGATCCTGTTACACTCGGCCATCGTTCAGCGACCCGGCTGAAGGAAGCGCGGCGGGAAGTGAGCCGGTGAGGTTAACGGTGATGGCATGAGGACATTAGTAAAGACGCTCAGCGGGTCTAGCGAGGAGGAGGATGAGGATGGTGGTGGGCGTGATGGTCCTTGGTCAGTTACTGACGAGGATCCTGCTCGCGGCCCACGCGGGAGATCGCCTCGCAGCAGCTCGCAGAATTCTCAGAGATGTGCCGCTTATAGACGGGTAAGTCGATTTTCGGGAATAAAGGGAGAATCCTCTTCAAACACAAAGAGAGAGAGTTCGCAAGTCCGCAAGGACTACTCGAGATCAAATCAAATTGCCAAACTTGGTTAATCAATATTGAGAGAATTTTTGGAATTGTTTTGCGATATATCATCAAAAATTACGCAATTGTTTAATATTTTTCTTAATTAACGGAAAACAAATTTATTCGCGTCCGTCCTTTTTCATCTAATTCACTCGTGCAAAAACGTTTAGCTTATAAATGTCAATGTTTTTATCATCTTTATCGCTTATACGTTTTAATTTATCCGCGAACTTACGGGCATATATATATATATATGCGTGTAACAGAATTTACAAGTTTATACCGTATAATATATATTATACGGTATATATTAGTATAATGTATAATATATATTATACGGTATAAACTTGTATATAT